AAATATTGAAATAGTAAAAAAAGTTATCGAAGAAATCAAAAAAAAAATACCTGGCTGGGTTTTGTATATTATTCAAATACAAGATGTTTTAAAAAAATTTTACCCCAAAAATTGGTTTTATGTAAAATATATTTTTGAAAGCTTTGTTCTTCCTCTTTTATTTATTTCTATATATTTATTTAGAATTCCTGTAACAAAGACATTTTTAGACCTTATTTTGGTTTTATTCATTTCAATAATATTTTTCATATACTATACGAATATAGTTTTTAATTTTCAATATAAAATCATCATATTAAAAGAATAATTTTAACAAGATTTTTTTTAAAAATTACAAAATACGTTTATTAAAAACTATTATTTTTTATTTTTTATTTTTATTTTTAATCTTATAATTGTTAATAGATGTCTGACGAAGAATCTGGAGAAAAAATGGTTATAGAAGTTCCTGGAGACGACAATGTAAGAAAAGAAATTATTTCTTATCTTAGAAGCGGCAAAATTGATTATAATTATCAAATCGAGTCAAATTTTTTTACATCTGAAAAAAATAAACATAATGAAATAATTGGTATTTGGGAAGAAGAATATGGTAATGAAGATAATAAGTTAAAATTTAAAATTATGAAAGTAATATCGAAAAAAAGTCATTTAAAAAAACAAAGCATTGCTGGTCTTAGTTGTGAAAAAGGAAGTAGAAAGATTCTTAATGCTTTTTTATTATATTATGTTGAAGATAGTGATGATGTTAATTATGGTTCGTTAAAAGGGAGAGTTATTCTTTTAGGTATTGATAATGAAGTGATTGAAAAAATTAAAGGACATCCTGAAGAATTAGCAGCGGCAATTTTTTTAAAATCTCATAGTAGATGGCACTTAGTTGTACAGAAACCAGGTATTACTTGCCTGGGTGTAGTATTAGGATCAGAATGTTTAAATAGGTAATCTCTTAGCAGATTACAGGTATGGCAGCCAGTGTAGAACCTTCGGGCAGACTACTTAAATTAGGTAACCAAAAGTTGCACGTGTGGCTAGTTGCACATGTGGCTAGTTGCACACTCATCTTGTATAAGTTATATGTAATGCATTAACTAAAAACACAAATAAAGGCAGTAGCC